GGAGGGTCCCTCCGGCGGGGTTTCCTTCTCCGGAGAGGTGACATCTGTGGGCACTGCGCTCTCGCTTTCCACCCGTGGGACTTGCCCAGCGTGTGTCACCTCCCGAGCGAGCAGGGTGACTAACGGCCGGGCTCCTTCGCACCTTCCCCCCGTAAATCACACCTCCGGGAGCTGCTGAGAATCCCCCTCGAGCCAGCGCCGCAGCCCCAGCCCCAGCGAAACCCCAACCTCCAGGGAAAATCCCCGTCCTCCGCCGCATCCCTCGGGCACGTGGGGCTGGGAATGCCAAGCCTGCGGTGATGGAGTGATTCTGCGTCTCTGCCCCGCAGAGCCGATGGGAACTGGCCGGGATGGGGCTGGCTTTGGCCGGGGTGATATTGGATCTGTTTTGGGGGAAAGAATGAAGGGCTGGGAATGCCAAGCCTGCGGTGATGGAGTGATTCTGCGTCTCTGCCCCGCAGAGCCGATGGGAACTGGCCGGGATGGGGCTGGCTTTGGCCGGGGTGATATTGGATCTGTTTTGGGGGAAAGAATGAAGGGATTGCATCGCATCACTGGGACGGAGAGAGGAGCAGGCACACAGTCGGTGGCTGGGAGAAGGGCACGGAGCTGGCTGCGTTGCTTTCTTACCTTCAAAACACGGCCTGCATCCGTGCATGGACCCATGCCGCTCGGCTCCGCGCTGCTCGCGCCCATCCCTTGGGAAGGATGGTGTTTTTCCACGGATTTTCCAACAGGTTCTTTCATTTTCTGCAGTGATTTTCAGCCTGGGGTCTTCCCTGCTCTCCGTGTGAGTGAATCCATTCATCGGGAGCTTTCAATCTTCTGCCCACGAGCAGGTAGTGGGGAAAATTTCCGTAGCAGAACTCCTGCCCAGAAACCCCCGATGATTCAGTCGGGGCTGGAGGGGAGGGGGAAAAACTCATTTTCATAATATTACTTTGAAAAAGAGAAAAACTTTCAGCTGCAGACGAATCGTAGCCGTGATCACGCGGTTCTTGCTGGAGGATTTCCCTCGGGAGGAGCGGGAAGGGGGTGACCCGGCACATGATGGGCCGCACCCCTGAGGCACGCGGGGCCGAGCGCGTGATGCTCAAGGAGCTGCTGGGGCACCCGGAGCAGCTCCTCGGGAGGACAGACCCAGCCAGGACAAGCTTTGATCTGAAACAGGGACAACTCGAGCTCGTTTTTATTGTCCCGCTCCGTTAAACTGAATCTCCTCTCACTAATTGATTGCATGCAGTCCCGGACCTGAAGACTGCCGGCCTGACACCTGGCTTTTGGGATCCCCATGGAGCTGGGAAGGGGTATCTCACCCTGGTGGGACGCATCCTTCGGCCATGATCATCCCTCAGGGATCTCAGAGCGGAGAGGAAAAGCTTTCGCGTGTGTAGCTGTGGGGAGGAGGAGCGCGGCCACGTGGGAGGAAGGCACGCTGGTTTATCCTGGGTTTAACTTCCTCCGGCATCTCCCGGGTCACCTCATTTCTAGTAAGCAGCTGGATTTCCCACTTGCGTGGCTCGTCACAGCCGGCCTCGATCTGTCTTGGTGGCATAGCATCACCCACGCCACATCCCCCGTGTCCCAGTACGGAGCACGAGCAAAACGAGCCCAGTGGCACACGCGGATGGACAGACCCCTGCCCAAGGCTGGGTAGATAGGTTGATAGGCTGAGAGGGAATGGCCTTGAGTTGCATCAGGGGAGGTTTAGATTGGATATTAGGAAAAATTTCTGTACTGAAGGAACGGTCAGGCATTGGACCAGGCTGCCCAGGGCAGTGGTGGAGTCCCCATCCCTGGAGGGGTTCAAAAACCGTGTGGATGTGGCACTTTGGGACATGGTTTAGCAGGCGCGGTGGTGTTGGGGTGATGGTTGGGCTTGATGATCTCAGAGGTCTTTTCCAACCTCAATGATTCTGTGATTCTACATCCTAAGATCCTCAGGGAAAAGGAGGAAATAGCTGCAGGGCAGCAAATAACCCCTGCAAACAAAGCTGCTGCATCACGGACGGGAAAAACAGGTCTGACGAAGAGAAGCAGGAGGTGCAGGCGGCCGGGAGCGAGCCGGGTGGGTGGCAGGGTTTCAGGCACCCGGTCCAGACACATCAGCTCAGTTTACGGCTCCTTGTCTCGGGGGAAGTGGACATCAGGTGGGATGGGCAGGACACCCATGGGAGAGCTGGCCCCGGGGTGCCGGCATGTGGGTGTGCCGCTGGGCCAGCTCCAGCTCTAACCGCGGCTCAGATGTGGCCGGGAAGGGCAGTGTTTGCTGGACGGGCTGAGCCCAGGATAAGATGCAAG